AAATAAATTTAATGGAGAAATTAATACTTAAAAATGGAATGAAAAAAAAAACATTTAATTGTTTGATTTCTATATTATGTTTTCTCAATTGAGACAAACCTAAATAAGGTGTGAAATATGACTTTCAAAGGTCTGTAAATATTCATTGAAAGAAAACAAAAATTTTTAAAATACATTTAAAAAATAAGTTATAATTAAAGTAGGTTTATGTAAATATAAATAAATAAATACCAAGAACTTGGAGGCATAAAAAAAAAAATTATTTGAAAAATGGAGGATGAAAAAGTTCAGGAGTGGTGGGGAATGTTTTCTAGATTTTTTTTCTTAATATTGAACTTGTAATTTAGAAGAATAAAGTTTGAAATTGTGAGTTCTAAAGTTGGTAAAAGTTCAGGAGTGATTTCAGAGTTCGTGAATGTTGGTAATTATCTTTAACGTCTGGCCAGCAATGACTAAGACGGAAGTTGGTGAAGGTTACATCTTGGCACTTGGTAGCAAGGAATGAGACGTGCAAAAGAGATGAATGAAAAACTACTACTTAAAAAGTTCACACGTGAAAAAATGTGATTATATAATGGCTGTGAACCAATGCGTGGGAGGCTCCAAAATAGAAAAGAATAAAACAGATTGGTCTGAATGATTCCAAAACATTTGATTTTATTAAAACTGACCAATCTGCAAAAGGCAAGATTAGAGGGTCCCTTTGACCAATGAATACTTATTATATTTATGTGAAAGTAGGATTTTACTTACCAGATAGGGAGAGTGCATTTCCTAAAAAGTGGTAAGGTTGGTTTGTTGTGGAAGATCCCACAGGTGCATTGCGTCAAATGGAGAATACTTTGTAGGTGTTAAGAATATAAATATACAACAATAGATGAATAAAATTATATGACAAAATTCCGGTTACATTTGGTTGCCCACTCCAATCTATCTATCTATCTATATATATATATATATTGAACAATAAAAAAAATATTAAAAAATTAAAATCTTCAGACACACTGTTTTGTAGATTAATATTCTTTCGTTTTTTTTATTATTATTTCATTTAGATTCCTCGACTAGTTTCGGCCAAAATGGCCATCATCAGGAGAAGAAATATTTCTGCTTGCTGGTAGCAGTAAACTACAGAAATTAATGTCTTGACGTAGAAAATAAACTTTTGTCTGTAGTTTTCATTTTTTTTTTTTTTTTTTTATGTTTTTTTTTATGAATCTTTTAACATTCCTTGTGTTGGTCAAACAGTCTCTTTTAAGTTGTTATTTGAGATAAGAGCTTCATGGATCTATGCTTCTCTGAATTCCCCTGGTCAGTTTGACAGTTTTATTGGTCCTGGAGAGGGGATGTGTCTCTGTTTAGTGTTTGTGCGTGTGTTATTTGGTTCTTAGTGAGTGAGTGAGTATGATATGTGTAAGCGCGTGTATTGCTGTGCGTGTGTGTTATCATTTGGCTCATTAGGGAGTGAGTGAGTATGACTTATGTAAGTGTGTATGTTCATGTGGGTGTCTGTATAAGTGTGAGGCCTTCACATGTATATATATATACGTGATGTCACCTCCTATATATATATATATATATATATATATATATGTATATATATATATATATATATATATATATATATATATATAGGAGATGATATCATGTAACTTAATTTCTACCGAATGGAGATATTCCCATTTTGTATTCCTACAGGTTTTGTTCAGGTTTATTTTTGCAATGATTTTCATGTTACCTGGTAAATTGAAAAACCGAAATTCGTCAAACTAAAATTCGCGCTGCAATTAACTTCTTAAAAAGCTAAGGCAAATGTACATAATGAGTTCTTTTCTGGTCAGGAAGAGTTTATAAATAAATGAAGAGCCCATGAATAAATGAAAAGATATATCTATTTTAAGTATGAAGTTGTAGATTTTTCAAATAGACAATGTGTAGAGTAACTGGTCAGGGTTAAATGTATTTGGTAGAACTGAAATGAATTGACAAATTTTGCAATGAACAATAAAAGGCGAAAGAAAAGAACAGGGCAAAAATAATATTAGGCAAACAGTATTTTACAGACATATTTTAATTTTAGATAGATAGATAGATAGATAGATAGATAGATATGGATATGGAAATAGATAGATAGATAGATAAAAAAATTAAACGTGAAGTTTTTTCTCAAAATGTTTCCAAACCACACAAGCATGCAGGAATAGATGAATGCTTATATATATATATATATATATATATATATATATTGTGTGTATTTAGGCAGCATCTTTTCATTCATACACGTTTCATTAAATAATATAGACAAGTGTTGTCTATTTATTTTCTGTAAATTTTTTTCGTAACATCTGATAAGTTTAATAACATTATCGTTGAACGACGAAAGAAATTCACAATAGTGATCCATATTTTTTTTTTAATACAATCTAAGCTTTCGACTTACTTAAGCCATTATCAAAGATGTTAATTAATTGTCCGTATATTGTTTAATATGTTGTAATTGACATTTCAACAAAACTTTCTCAGGACTACATAAAATCACCTTGCGGTGGTTCTGACAGCGCCAAAAATTGGAAAAACACCATTGTTTTTGCACGAAATCAATTTGAAAACACGATAAAACACGATTCTGTCACCAGAATGAAAGGGGGACTCATATCGAGTTATACGTATTATAAAACCCAGGTTGTTTGTGAGTGTATGTCTGTGTTCGTTTATATATGGGATCGGATTTTCTACATTTTCAACCGATTTCAACAAAACTTCACTTTTTTTTTTTTGGCAGGTAGTGTTTCTTATTGTCTTGCACACTTTTTTTTTATTTTTACATTCAGAATGCTTTAAAAATTCCATTTATAAGACAATTGTTTCTAATAAAATTCTATTCAATCGGTAGAGACTCATAACGATTGAAAACAATATTTTTGTTTGAGTTTTAGTTTGATCACTCCGTAAAAAAAAAAAAAAAAAAAAAATAATTAAGACATGCGTGTCCATCAACCTTAAACAATAATCTTTGTCAATTTTATTTTCAGTCTTTATGATGGTGGATACTTGATCTATCTCTTACTGTTACATCCCCGGGCAACGCCGGGCTCTACTACTAGTATTTTATATTTCCATTTTTCTAAAACTTACACTTGGAATAAATTCTTTTCTTTTCATGTTAATTGAATGCAAATTACATTTATGTTATATTTTTTTTTTAGGGAGCGACTTACTGCCTTGAAATTTATTCATTATCCTAATTTTAATAAAAGTGTATAGATTTAAAAAATTATATTTTCAAACTATTGGTTAAAGAAAATTTATTTAAAAAAAATAATAAGGAACTATTTTATCACTTCTGGTCTGCCGTATTTCTTTAGGTTTTATTTTTACTTTTACGCGCGCCTTTTTGGGTGTAATTGGAATTAATTTATATTGTACTCTTTGACCCCGACAGGCAGCCGTGCGTAAATAAAACGTTATTTTCATGCTATTTTAAGTAAAAGTAAACATTAGATTAAGAAAATCCAATTAATTAATCCTTAAATTTCCTAACAAACTTCGAAAAACATCCAAACTTGTAAAAATGCCTAAAAATTTTATTTATATACAGAAATTAATTTTTTTTCTTTTATTCGGATTAACTTTTTAGGCGATTATATTTGAAATGGAAGAAAAATTGAAGTTCAAAGAAGACATTTAAAGTATTGAAAATGCGTTTTACGTTTTTTTTTTTTATTTACAAAGTCTAATATTATAATTTTAAAAAATTCCACTTTTTGGGGCTATTTACAAAGAAATATTCCCGGTTTCAATTCCTTCTTTCGACTTTTCTCTTCAAATACCAAAAGAAATTGATTCTGTTTTGTATCCAAAAATAACAAGAAAAAGCAAACAATTTCGGGTGAATTTTTCGGCCCCATTTATCGGAATGAAAACACAAATATCAATAAATAATCAAGTATTCGATTAATAATCGATTTCTTAACGAATTTCCGATCATTTTCTTGATAGATTTGAATAGAATGAGAAAAACAAAAGGCGTTAAACCCCCAAATAAAGAATCAATTTAAGGGGAATAAGAAAAAGAATTCATCAGAGTTATTTCCCTTGGATTGTTAAATTTCGAATTTGTTGCTTTCTTTCTGATATCGATAAAGAGAGAGAGAGAGAGAGAAAATCAAGAAAAGATAAAAACAATGAAGGGGGGGGTAGAAAAGAGAAGCTGACATTATGGGAGGGGGAGGAGTCTGCGAAAAAGAAAGTATTGTATCCTTAAATTTATTTCATGGAAATTTCTTCATAATTACTGAAGAAGAAGAAAAAAATAATAATAATAATAATAATGGTCCTGTTAATTCCATCCTACCCTTTTATTCCGAACCTAAGGATAAGCGGTTGTGGCTCTCCACAGACTCCTTTTACTTTTATGCAATATATGTGAAATGTCATTTAATCTTTAGCGTATGGAGTGGATTCCCAAAGCCTTTTCCCTTGACTTGTTGCCATTCAAGGCTAGACAGGTCAGTCTACCCTACTATGTATTTCTTTCCACCTCCCCTGATGATGACTTATTTGCAGTTATAAATATATATATATATATATATATATGGACCATATTCCTCTTCCAATCTGAAAATTTGGTCAATTTTTGAAAAAAATTTTTTCCTCCAGGTAGAACTCTTTAGAAGGATTATTTGCCATACATATATGTGTGTGTGTATATATATATATGTATATATGTGTGTGTGTGTGTGTGTGTGTGTGTGTGTGTGTGTGTGTAAATTGTTTATTGCAACTCAGCAAATCTGGCAAATCTTCGGTCGTTTATGTTCAACCACCTCGCTATAATACCAGCCAAATGGATTCAGTTTAATAGAAAGAAAATGCATTAAGAAAACATTAAATATGGCTACAACTCGCAGCTATTTTTATATATTTCCTTATTCAATTTCATGTCTCTCCAAGATATAATGGGTTTATGGCTCTCCACAGCCTCCTCTCATTTGATTGACTTAAAGTTTTCTCTTGGATCGCTTGGCTTTTTTCATTTTCTTTTTCTTTCGTTTGCCGTCATCGAAAAATGGCAGATTTGGATGGCATCGAAAAACATAAGCAGATATAGAGAGAGAGGGAAAAAGTTGGGGGTGGAGAAAAGAAAGAGATAAAATCAGTTTAAGGGAGAGGGAGGAGGAATGAAATTTAGAAGCGGGAGGAGGAGAGAGTCTGTGAAAAAGAAAGGATTTTATCAGTGATATTATTTCATCTGATTTTATTCTTAATTCTTATTAATGATGATGATGATGATGATGAATGTTGTTTTTAATCTCTCCCCCCCACACTCCCCGCCCATCTCCGGACGTCATTTCCCATCCGGTAAAGACGGGCCACGCCCTTTCCTATCGATCTACTCTTCCAGTTGGGACCCAAGAGATATCCTTTTTTAAAAAGAATCCTTCCTTACCCTGGGGCATCAATATGACCCCCTTACCCGACCCCGAAGAAAGAAAAAAGAGAAATTATTTGACTCACCTCATATTGTTATCAGACGAAAAAAAAAAAAAAAAAAAAAAAAAAAAATCGATCAATTTTAATATTTAATTCCATTTGAAAATTCAAATTCAATTCCACATTTTTTGTCAACTTTTGATGGTCGGAGAAACAAAAAAAGAAATGACAACAAACGAAAAAATCTTGTAAAATCCATCGTTTTTTTTTTCTCAGAATTAATAAAGATTTTTTTTCTTTTTTAATATTAATTTGTCTCGACTCATATTACGAAAAATGAACATTTTTCGGTCTTATTTACCTGAACTCATATTGGGAAATCATTAAAAACTTTTACAAAAATTTAGAGACGAAAAATTATTTACATCAAAAAGAATAAAAACAATTTTAATTAAAATTAATTCTATTTCTTTAAATTTTCCATAAAATAAAAACAAAAGAATTTTAATTAAAATAAATTTTATTTGTAAAATTCATGAAAAAATTCAAGTTTTTTTTAATTAATTTTCAAAATTTTAATTAAATTTTCTCCGTCGTTTTCAAAACAAACAAAGAATTTTTTTCCGGAAACAAAAATCCTCGGAAAATTCAGATTTTTTTGGAAATTTGAACAGAACTTTTTCCGGTGAGACAGAAAAAATTCCTTCCTTGTTGCAAAAATAAAACTGACCAAATTGGTCGGTACAAAAAATCGAGAATTTTTTCTTTAGTTTTGACGATTTGAAGAATTTGGCCATTTTGTTTCCAGAAGAAGATTTCCGACATTCCAAGTCTTGTCCCCAAAAATTCCCGGTCGTGGGATCGGCACGAAAAAATCTTCTAAATAGAACCCAACCCAGCGATTTCTCAAGTTGGATTCTTTTGATTTGATTTCCTTCTTTAGAATAATAAAAATTTCTTCAAAACGCGAATCGCAAATGAAAATTTTTTCGTTCATTTGACACAAAGAAGAAAAATTCATTTTCTATTGTTTTGATTCTTTTTCTTTTTTAAAATGGCCGACTTTTCCTTCGCGCCAAAAAAAAAAAAGTTCTCCGCACCCCATCCCCGACCCGGAAACAACGAAATTGTCATGGGAAAGACAACAAATGTCCCAGGGTAAGAATCCTTCGTCACTCAAGAGACATCGGCCGACGAATTCCCCAGTCTCGCCGAATTCCTTGATCGATTTGTCGCCCCCATCGACAACAAACACGTGACCATCTTCGTCGCTGACAGCAATCGACAAAATCGACCCCAGGTTCGAACCCCGCAGGCGGCATTCGCTTTCAAGTTTCAATTCCTTTGAATGCCATGTCTTTACCATCTTAAAGTCGACAATTTCTTCTTCAAGTTGGTTCAATGATCGTTGGCACCATTCTGGAAAGGTCACCACAAAATGACCTTCCTCAACAGGAAAGAACGATTCATGGAGCCGCCCTGAAAGATCCACTCCCAGCGACCGGACACCAGAAATAACGTCCTCGTTGTCGTTGCTGGCGACTAAGAAATGTTGCAAATCTAGGAGCCATTTTCCTGACTCCTTCAAAAGATTTTCTTTCTCTTCGAGGATTTGGCGCCATTTCCTTTCTTCTTCGCTCGTCTTTTCTCTCATTTGGTTGCACAATTCTGCGGCCTTCAACCTCGTCTTTTCCAGAAATTCATCGAATTCCTGCCAGACTTTGGTGCAATTCACGTCGCAATCGATTGATAATTGTTCAATCGATTTCTTCGTCCATTCAATCCCTCGACGGAGCCGCTTTTCAATTCTTCGACATCTTCCTGCAAATCGACGACGCTTTTTTTCGCTTCCAAAATTTCCTTCCTCAAAGACGACGAAGCCATTTTTGGATTTCGTTCAGGAAAAATGAAATCTGAAAATACGAAAGAAAAAAAAAAAATCTTTTATAGAAAATAAAAAAAGGTCAAAGTTCAAAATCATTTTTAAAACCGAAATTAAAATAAAAGCGATTTTTAGATTTTACAAAAAAAAAAAACAATTCCTGAAAAATTTTAGTTTTTTAAAATAAAAATAAATAAAAGGTCATTTTTTAGATTTTACAAGAAAAACAAAAGTGATTTAAAATATAAAAATTTTATAGAGTTTCAGAGGAGTGAAAAGTCACAAATAAATAAAATGCAGGAAGTGAGGGGAGAAAAAGACCAATACGAAGAAAAAGGAAAGAAATAAAAGAACAGAGAGAAAAATCTCCAATTTGCTGTCTTCACAATCACTTTTAACATTCAGATCTTAATTAAATTGGTGTTTCTTTTTCAACAGATTTAAAAATATCAAAATGAGAGAAAATGATTCATTTTTTTTTTATAATGACAAAATTGAATCCATCTTAAATAAACTGGTCCATTCATTAAAATATTTTTTAGATAAATAGTGTACATTAGATGGGGCAATGATAAATATTTTTATATATATATTATAATATATATATATATTTATATTTAAAAGAGAGAGAGAAAAAGAAAAAATGTTTTTTAAACAAAGGAATCCATTTTCTAATAACTTGAGAGATTTGTTCTTCACTATATATATAAAGCCATAAACATAGAGAGGAAGTGAAGAAAGAGATGAAAAGAAAGAGAGAGATATAGATTAAAAAATTTCATTGGACGAGAATAACCCCGCCAACTGGAGGGCGTTACTTTGGGTGAGATAACAAGGAGGGAAAATGTCTATTTCTGAGAAAAGAAGAATTAAGAAAGAAAGGGAAAAAAGAAAATTATCGATTTCAAAGTAACAAAGAAAGAAAGGAAAAGCTCCAAAAAAAAAACTGCTGTCTTCACAATCACTTTTAACATTCAAATGTTAATTGGTTCAATGTCCATTTCAGGATGGCAACACTTTAAGAAATTTGAAGATGGCGGCCTTTTTATCGTCTGTTTTTTTTTTTTTTTTTATAACGAAAAAATGATTCTGTTTTTATAATTTTTTTACATATAGATAATGAAACTATTTGGAATTTGACTGGAAGATATATAAAATTGAACACATCTTAAATAAACTATATCCATATATTAAAAAATTATTTTAAAAGATAGATACATAGATAGATAATAGATAGAACTTGCCTAGATATATATATATATAAATAGATAAACAATGAAGAAAGAGGATATATATATATATATATATATATATATATATAAATATATAGAGAGAGAGATGAAAATAAATGAAATAGATAGATAAATACATAAATAATGAACTTGCCTAGACAGATACATAAATAGATAGACAATGAACAGAGAGGATATATATATATATATATATATATATATTATATATATATATATATTGAGAGAGAGAGGAAAAGAAAGAAAGAGATATATAATATAATTGAGATAGATAGATAGATAGATATAGATATATAGAAAATAGGACTGAGATATAGATAGACAAAAAAAAAAATACTTTTTTTATATACTCAGCAAACACTTGCGTCGGAGTGGCTTTTTTGCCTTGCTTTGGGTGAAATTGGTTCAAAATTACAAAAGAAAATGTCTATTTCTGTTCATGGAAACATTTAAGAAATTTAAATGATTTGGAAATCAATAAAATTCATACCTACAATTGATTTCAATTTCACTTGAATGGAACTGGTTTTTGTCAAATGGCGTTTGACCAAAACAAACTGCAAACTTTGTCTTCTTTGTTGAATTGTCTGAAACAATCTGACTATTGCCATCGCCTAAAAGGGTTTAAATAGTAATAGCCAATCAGGATGTAGGATGACGTCATAAGGCATTTCATTGGACGAGAATAAACACGCCACTGGACATGAAATAACAAAACAACTTATGTTTAATATGAAAGGGAAAAAGACAGAAAAAAAAAAAATTCTAATAAATAAATCCGAATAAAATCATATTTAATTTCATAAATTATCATTTTATGGAAATAAAAATAGCAAAATGTCGAATAAAATTAGATTCTTTATTTTTGAAATCAAATTCATATTTATTTTATTTCTTGTAAAAAATACAAAACGTATTTTGAATTTCATGATTTTAAAACAAAGACAAACTGAAACTAGATTTGTTGATTCCGAAATGTCAAATTAGATATATATGGATAGATATATGGATGGATGCATATATATGATACACATGATAGACACACACACACACATATGATACATATATATGATAGATAAATATTATGGTAAATATACATATACATATGCATATAATATATATATATACATACACATACATATATATTTGTATAAAAAAAATAATTCAAGAGGATAGAATCCAGGTAGAACTCAATGTCCAGGACAGAGTAAGGATATAATAAAAAGGCTTAAACACTAATATTCCATGGTCATAATTTATTCCATTTGGATTGTAAATACGATCCAATTCATCAGACCTACAAATTCATATAATATATATATAATAAGAATTAAAATCCGAAATAACATGAATTTTTTTTCAAATTAAAAAGTTGAAAAGAATTTCGACTATAATTTCATGAGGGTAGAAAAGAGAAAATGAAACTCGTTTTTGTCGGTCAAATTCCGAGAAATCAAAATTTAGATCATCTGTTCCGCGGCTAAAACAAGAAAAACAACTTCTTTCACTGTTCACAATATCTTTGGAAATAGTTGAAGAAGAAGGACGAATCAAAAGAAATAAACAACAACAACAACAGCGAAGACAACAACAACAACAATAATAATAATAATAATAATAATAATAGCAAATTTCGAGAAATAAAACTTTAGGTCAATTCTTTGTCGAATTGATTCCAAAAAAGAAATTATGATTGAGGCTGAAAATAATAAAATGATTATCGAATTAAATTCTATAAATTTTATACAAATTTTTAGGTATTGTCGTGGTGCTGTAAGTATTGTTGGCTCGGGTCACCGTGAATATAATCAAGAAGGAAAGCTATGTTCTTGTAAAACAACACCCCACATGAATAATGCACAAGAAACACGAGAGAAAAATAATCAAGCTCAGAGAACATTAATAAAATATTGTATTAACAATGATATACAAATATCAACAATAAGAAAGTTGCTTCCCTTTTTCCGTTATAAAAAGGGTAAGTTTAGCTAATTAATGTTGAGTACAATATTGAATGTTATTTAACTACAAAGTTCAATTGAAGTCTTAGCTAAATAAAGAATAGTTCCACAGTGTTTTATCAGTGTAGAAAATGTAATGTTCATGAGTGATATCAATAGGAATTAGTATGATTACTCGATTGAGTGATAATTAAGAATTAAAATGTCAATATAGCACCGTGCCTTATTTTCCAAGAATTGAACTGCTGTTGGCTAACAGCGAGAGGGTTTATATAATGATGTGAGCTTGGCGCCAAAAATATAGAAAGATACTAAAATACGCGATTGGTCAGGAAATGGACCAATCCGTGATTTTAGAGAAAATTTCAAATTACCTGCGATGGCAAAATTGTCATATAATAAGTATCATGTATTTATGAACCAATGATATTGAAGGAAATGGAGGTGTGGCACATGTAAGTGATCCCCACAATTCCCCGTCAAGATTGAAAAGTCAGGGAAGAAAGAGTTTTCAATATGTAATGAAAGTTCTGAACTTCTTAGGCCAGTGGACGGTACGTCTGCTAGCAGTCCTAGTAGGTGCTGGTGACGAAGGCTGAGGGCTGTCTAACGAAGGGCTCTTAGGTTGATTGGTTGATCCATCGCGTTCAATGCATGCAGGTTTCAAGCGATCGATGGAGAAAGTCGATCGGCCGTGGTTAGTCTGTAAAGTATAATATTTATCGGTCCGGGCAAGGACACGAAATGGACCCGCATAATGTGGTGTCAGTGGCTTTCTAACAGAATCCTGTCGTACAAAAACGTACTCGCATTCCAGTAAGGAAGGAGGTACATAAACGTCACGTGAAGTGTAACGGGTTGGAGTAAAAGAAAGGGAAGACATTTTCTTCCGAAAACAGGTGATAAAACTGGATGAAAATTCTTGTGTAGATGTTACGGAGAAATATTGTCCTGGTAGTACCAATTGTTGTCCGAAAACAAGATCAGCAGGCGAGCATTTCAGATCTTCTTTAACTTGTGTGAGAAGTGAAAGTAAGACAAAAGGTAAGTTGTCTATCCAAGAAGATTGATTAGTAGTGCCTATGCTGGTCAAAGCAGCCTTAAGTTGGCGGTGGAAACGCTCAACCCATGCCATTGGAATATGGGTGGTAAGCAGTTGTTGATATATGACGAGCTCCAAGTAGTTAGAGTAAATTCTGCGAATAGCTGAGATTGGAACTGCGGTCCTCGATCAGTGGTAATGATCGAGGGGCATCCGTAAATGGAAATCCAATGTTGAAATATGGCTCTTGCCACGGATTCAGCGGTAGTGCTGTTGAGTGGGACGGCAACCGGCCATTTCGTAAATCTATCTATAATTGTCAAAATGTATTGACATCCCCGAACTTCCGATAAGGGACCCACTAGGTCCGCATATAGATGTCGGAAACGACCATCAGAGGCAGCAAAACGACCAGCTGGTGACTTAGTGTGTCTCTGGATCTTGTTTTGTTGACAAACAACACAAGATTGAATATAGCGAATAATGCCTTTACGCATCTTAGGCCAGACGAAACGGTCTGCAATTAACCTAAGTGTGGCTTTACGACCAGGGTGGGACAACGAATGAAAGTGGTCGAATATTCGTCGCCGCATGTTGTTTGGGACGACGGGTCGAGGATTACGTAGACTGGTGTCGCACGCGATAAGCTTATCAGTAAAGGGCAAGGGATGATGCTCAATATGTAGTGACGAATCTCGAAGTGAGTCGAGCAAAGTTATCTCCCGTACTTGTTCATCCGCGGTATTTTCCATGTCTAAAGTATCTTGCAGGCTTCCACACAAGGATGCTCTGGAAAGTGTATCGGCAGCAATGTTATCCTTTCCTTTAATGTGACGTATATCCGATGTAAACTGAGATATATAATCAAGATATCTGTAGTCTCGAGGATTCTACTTGTCTGATTTAGTTGAAAGGGCAAAAATGAGAGGCTTGTGATCTGTGTAGATCACAAAGTGTCTACCCTCTAAAAGGTGTTTAAAATACTTAATTGACAAGTATATAGCTAAAAGTTCCCTGGAAAAGGTACTATACTTCTTCTGTGTGGACGTCAACTTAACGGAGAAGAAGGAAATTGGCAAAGATTTAGCGTCAACATGTTGGTGTAAAACTGCGCCTATGGCGTCAGAAGATACGTCAGTCGTTAATGATAACTGAGTGGTAACACTGTCAGTGAGGCATGAAAGTTTCATAAAGTTGACCAATGTTTTATGAGAGTTGTCAAATGCTTACGCTGCGTCGTTGTTCCCACAAATAGGAGTATTTTTACGATCTTGCCCGCGAAGAATATTCGTCAGGGGGTGCAAGAATTTGTGAACAACGTGAGATGAATTGACAATAATAATTGATTAAGCCAATGTATCTGCGAAGTTTTCGAAGTGTGGATGGCTTCGGAAATTCCTGGATAGCACGTATCCTTTCAGGTAGGGGAGTAATACCTGTAGCATCAATGACGAAACCGAGAAAGTGGAGTTGCGAAACGGCAAACTCGCACTTCTCTGGGTTGATTTTTAAACCAAAGTTCTAAAGACGATCAAAGACTTGCTGAATATGTTTACGATGCTCCTGTAAATTAGGGCTAGCTATTAGAAGATCATCAATGTATGCGAAAGTGAAAGATAGTCCACGAAGTACCTCATCTATAAGGCGTTGGAATGATTGAGCTGCATTACGCAGTCAAAAAGGCATACGCAGAAATTCAAATAAACCAAATGGCGTGGTGATCGCAGTTTTGGGAATATCTTCGTCAGCGACTGGGATCTGATGAAAGGTTTTGTGCAGATCCAGTTTGGTGAAGACAGTTGCTCCCTCTAAGGTAACAGCAAAGTCGGTCAAATTGGGAACTGGGTACTTATCGGGTATTGTGAATTAAGTCGTCTATAGTCGCCACATGGCTTCCAGGCGCCCTGCTGAGCCTTAGTGACCATGTGAAGCGGTGAGGCATATGGTCTCGAGGAGGGGCGAATAATCCCGAGGTCGAGCATGTGTTGGAACTTGGCCCGGGCAATCTTGTATTTATCCGGCGCAAGACGGCGAGGTTTAGAATAGACAGGCTGTTCAGTAGTTCGAATCCTGTGTACAGTGTTGTGCTTGACAGGCTCTGTAAAAGTAAAAGGTTGTATCAACGAGGGAAATTTATCCAAAATATCTTGAATCGGATTATCACGCGGCACAGCGATGCGTAATTCTGTAGATGTTAGCTGTGATACAATTCAGCGGTTAGATAGCTTCGTGGTGGTGTCAGATAACTGACGCTGTGAGAGGTCCACGATGAGTTGATAATGTGCCAGAAAGTCGGCGCCTAATATGGGGAATTTCACGTCTGCAATGGTGAATATCCATTGATATGTCCTTCTAAGTCCAATATCCAGTGTTAACGATTGCTCACCAAAAGTCTTGATGTTCGTGCCATTAGCGGCGCGTAAAGTGACTGAAGAGTTAGTCTTAGTGAAGTTGGGTGATGGTGGAACAACGCTAAGCTGTGCTCCCGTATCTATTAGGAATGACATGTTAGAATTCCTGTCTTTTATATAGAAGAGACGGTTAGTAATATGTGTCCCAACAGTAGATGCCGCCTTCAAGTGCTGCTGGGATCGGCATTTCCCACCATCCGTAATGCTTTGGGGGAAGGTTGGCACTTGAAGGTACACGGTTTAATGCATCTGTGAGCTCTATCACCGAAGTTAAGATGGTACCAGCATAGCGTGGGTCGGCGAGCGCAAGTAGCAGAATGAGAGCGTCGCCGTACCTTGTATGAGTTTTTATCCTCTGTTCTGGTAAGATGCTGCACCTGAGTGGAAAGCCTCTCGAGTTGCTGTTTCAGCTGTTCTATTACATCCATCATAGCAGCGTCAGTGGGTACAGGGGAGTCCACGCTGTTGATGCTAGGTACGTCATTAATTTTATCAGCGATCTCAGCAATTCTCGAAAGATTTAAGTCATCGGGAAGCGTAGCCAGAATCTGTGAAGTGTATGGCGGTAACTTGTCCAGCCAAAGTTTGCAGAATAGTGATTCTGACATTGAGTTCTTTCCAAACAGACTCTTCATTCGTCCGAGTAACTGCAACGGGCGGCTATCTCCTAGCTGTATAGTATTAAATAGATCGTGCAACCTGCGCTCATGCGATTTTCAAGTACGGTAGATGATGGCTTTCTTTAGTACATCAAAGGGGTTATGAGCGGGAACGGCTTTTTTTCTTGGTGCTAAAAATATAGAAAGATACTCAAATACACGATTGGTCAGGAAATTGACCAATCCGTGATTTTAGAGTAAATTTCAAATTACCTGCGATGGCAAAATTGTCATATGATAAGTATCATATATTTACGAACCAATGATAGTGAAGGAAATGGAGGTGTGGCACATGTAAGTGATCCCCACAATGTGATCCGCTTTCTGCATGAAAATCGACATTGATGAAAAAGTGGTAGCGGACAGCTAAACGGCCAACAAGAAAGATTCTTTCATTCTTTTCTATCCGATAAAAATAAGGAAACCAAAAATGTATCTGCTAAGTTGTGAATTATTAAAAAATAAATGGTACGGTGGTGATTTGCAGTTTAAGATCATTCTTGATTGTTATATATATTTATATATATTTCTTTATTCTATTTATCTGGCCTTTCCTTTTTTGTTAACAAGTTTTGTTCCGCTAGACCAGTGGTTCCCAAACTTTTTTCTGGGTCGCATTTTCGCTATGAAAACTTACTTGTGCCTCAACAAATGTTGTGATAAAAAGTACATTTATAAGTAAAACAACAGGAGACGGTGATCTCACTTTTCCCTTCATATGTGGTCAGCTCCGCCTGATTTTTCTATTTCCCCTTGTGTTACGGTTTTACGATGTTCTTGCAGTCTTAAGGGGGCAGCCCGTTTTTCCTTTATATATCTTACCAAAGCTGCAGGGGATGGTGAACACATAGTCCTCAATCAAGTTCTCCTCTATTTCTTAATCGAAAGAGGTGTCTGCGAAGTTTTCAACAACTTTTGAAGGTCGTCCAGATGTTATATAGATCACAGATCTTTTGTATTTTTTTTCCGATAATCCCTTCACATAAGTTGACCAAAGCTGTTTTCTGAATATTGTTATCCTCTTGTACCCTTCTATCCCTGTTTGTAGGAGCTGCTGTCATGTACCTAGATTAGTTGTTACGTTGTAGAGTACTGCTTATACTAACCGTTTCTTGGTCATATATCTCTGAATTACCACTTATGACTTTTGCTCGATGTTGTAAGCAGCGGACAACTCCTTTCTTTACACTGTATGCCTGTTAGGAGTTGAAGTTGAGGTATAGGTCGGTGAATGTTGGCTTGCGGTATAGGGATGTCTTGAAGCTATGCTCTGTTCGAGATATTAGTGCAGTTTGTGAGTTTGATGTCGTTTTCTCTGTCCACTGGAAACTGTTTCGATGATCTTATTGAGTTCACATGGTTCAGGAGAAATTGGGCTTCTTCCTGGGTTGACCAGAGTATGAAGGGGTCATCTACGTAAAGTAAATGTAAGAATTTTGGCTTCTAAGAATAAGTTCCTTTTTTAGAAGCGGGTATAAATAATTTAGAAATATTATTTTTGTTATAAGTTTCTATATTTTAGGACTGACATTATTAGTTAACGAACTTATTTCATATTTCTTCAAAACAATTGTTCTCGTCTGGCATTACTACACTACTAAAGTCAAGCGGAACCGAAAAAGTTTTACAGAATTATCTAAATAAATCAAAATAACGTACTTAATTAGATTCTGTGAAAACTGCCTGTATGGAATTATTTAAACAGATGAAAAACAGCAAATTTTTAAATTATTTGTTGTAGTAAATAACAATTCGGAGTAAATAACAAACA